GTGCATATTTTTTGAAATTTGCTCAAACTTGACTTGTTGAAAACGTGACAGCCCTGTTAAGAACATGCTTTGTACAAATGTCATTAATTGCTCCTTTTTGGTTTGCCTTGTAGACTTTACTTATTATTATATTTGTTTCACATTATGATGTAATGTTTGCTTGTGTGGACCCCAGAAAGAGTAGTTGCAACCTTGGTAGTGACTAATGGGGATCCAAATAAATACAAAAATAAATACCCAACTTGAGCAACCACTGTTGCTTTGACTGCTCTTGTTTTTCTTTTTTTATGCCAGGAAGGCTTATGAGGGTACATTAAGCTAAAACTTGGCTTCACGGTGCTGATCAATGCTCGCTGGGTTCCAGATAATCGACCATAAGTCACCTTAGGCTTAGTGGTGTAGATTACAGACCCCATCCCCAGTCCACATCTGCCAAACATAGTCATCAGTGTGTATAACCCATATGTTATAGTGATAACTGTCGTCACTACCCAGAGCACATACTGGTACAGCTCCATTTAAACCTACTTTCCAAAATAAGAAATTAACAGAGAATTGCTGTTGGCATCTGTTGGCATTTGGTGAACACATCTAGTTTATAGGGAGCCCGTCTCCGTACAGCGAGCTGTGTCTAACACACACAGACAACACATTTTGAATCTGCGTGGTTAATTCAGATTCAGGGATGCTATCTTATTCTGTCGCCATCTGTGCAAGCCAAAGCCAAATAGTAAAAAAAAAAAATGTGTTTCTGCTCACAATGATATGAATCGCAGTCCAGTGAGGGTTAATGTGAACCTAATAGCAGGCCCAGGGAGGCGGAGACGAGGGTAAAGAAACGGAGAGATAAAAGAGCTGTGACCATCCACTCTATTCCCACTGGCCTATCTCCTCCATCAACATGGCAGTGCCAAGGAAATACAGTTCATTATCATTGATCACACTAGACTCCACGCTCACGCAGACACTCTCAAGAAGTTACACACATTCGCTCGACAAAAAACCAACCAAAGGAGACACCCTAAACAGATGTCTGCAGCATCTGTAACTGATAAAATTGAAATCCTCCTGCTTTTTGCCAAGAACAGCTTTCATTTTTCACTAGTTACCAGGTTTTGATATATCACCTCTCATGGGAACTAGCAAGACTGAACAGGATTAAACAGAAGCAGCAACTCTCGGTCTGCTGGCCTGACAGCATACAGTGTTTTATTGCCATGCAATTTGCCCCAGCTGCTGTAATTATTCTTAATTACAGCTGTGTGGTGCATTAATATCAAAGCTATGGGCCAGAACCTTCTGTATACGTGCGTCAGTCAGTACACATGCACATGTAGATTAGTGAGATAGGAGAGACAGTATGCTGATAGACGTCCAGAACCTCTGAGCTCATGAATATGCAACTGGAAATTTGAATGTAAGTGCTTCCATAAAGCAAATGCAGCAGTGGAAGCAGCAAAAAAACAGAGGCTAAATCCTTTGTAATGTGTGGGAGATGACGTGATGCCTGCCAAGGGATAATGTCGCGCCTTTAGAGATAACACTCTTCAGGAGGAGGCGCTTGTCTTCTCCGCTAAAACTTTCTTGGAAGCACTTTGGTTGAACTCGGGCTTCTTCTCTGAAGCCTTCACTACAAAGATGGTATATTCTCTAGCTATGTCATCAAAAGAGTAGAGGAAAAGTGGGCAGTGTGATGCAAGATATTACACACACACACACACACACACACACACACACACACGCGCACTCGCATAGCGCTCATGGGTAGTCTGACTGTTAGTTTTTGAGGATGAGGATGAGGTAAAACTTGCAGATCTCTACTTCACTGAAAGCACTACATAAAACTATATAAGAACAAACGAAGTCATTCACTGCGACAACACGGACACCCTTTTCTTCTCATTGCTTGTGATCAAATAAAACCCCTTCCAGCTCTTTCCTGTACTTCTCTCCTCTTGTCAGAAATGACAAAGCTGCACTCCCTCCCTTCATACAAAGGCTGTAATCTTTACCCAACTCTAGACCTACTAACCTATAACTCACAGATCAGAATGCGCAGCTGTGTCTGGGTGTGAAGAGGCGTGCATGAAATAGTGTCAGTGTCTCTGTGAGGTTGCATCTGTAAGTGCAGCCAGCACTGTAACGGCCAGGCATTTTCAGGGTCAATGTTCAGTTCTGAGCTCATTACCCATGTTCAGTGTGATTATGTGTGTGTGCACGCCATGTGTGTCCCAGTCTGCCCTTTCCCGCAAAACCACCATGACCAACGAAGAGGCCTCCTTCATCAATCACCCACTGTCCACGGTGCCGCATTAACCATCAGCCCCATTCAGAACAACGTCCCTCCTCATGGCCGGTCGCTGACACTCACAATATGTCTGGACCGCCGTATCTGACCAATGAAAACGCTTGCACACTGGGTCAGCTTTAGGTCAACACTTCAAACAACCAACCCGTCGAGACAAAAAACAAGCTCGCCTGCGTCTTTGAGTACAAACAAATCATTAGACAGACAGGGCTTCCTGCCAACGCTTGCCATTCTCTGGGGCTGATCGGGGTTCTGACAACGATCCAGCCCTACTGTCTGGACTAGTTAGGCTGCAGAGGGAAGAGGGAACAGAGGCGTTTCGATCAATACAGGCTCATTATCTGTTGCCTTCTGTCCCAGAGAGATGAGTCCCACCGCTCGGCCTGTTGATGAGGAAAGCGCACCACAATTCAATTAGGGGATGGCCGAGATGCCAAAAGAGGTTTGATCAAAGCACTCTGCCTGGCTAATTAGCACACACAGCGGTTCACAAGGGCTATTTTTACATCTGAGGAGCAGAGTATGTTGTTTTGTTAATGGCAGTTTTACCCTGTAATGGACTGGGAATAACCTGGCTCATTGTCAATGCATAGGTTTCAGCCAGGGGAGAGTGGGGGCCCCATGTGCTGCTCCACACACATGCGCACATGTATATTTATGCACTCACACACACATATACACACGCACGCACATAAAAACACACTGCTACAACCTGATGACCTTTCTAAAGGTCATGCAGGGTTTAATGAAACCCCTCTTTGCAGGTTAAACTCATCAGAAGTGTGCAGGTGTGTAAGTGTGTGTGTGTTTCTCCAGACAGGAAGTGTCAGGTCATCCAGAAATAGTGCCAGGGGAAAATAAAGCTGTTTCCAGGAGTCTTCGGGGACTTTTTAGGCAGCTCGCTGACAGCTTTATAAACCTCTTAACAAATGGTCGACCTCCTTCTCTCTAATGAGGCAAAGAGGTCCGAAGTCTGGGAAGGGAAAACAGGTGTGTCCTTCAAGGTGGGTTCATATCCCTCTGTGTTTGTGCGTGTCATTGGGGAGGGAGACACGATTTTAACAAGGGAGCAATGCTGAGGCCATTCTGAACTGAGCCATACTGGCACAAGCGGTGTCAATGTCCGAGTTCCCTATTCCTTACCATATATTGGATTTACAGAGCTGGTACTAACAGATGCAAAGGCACAAATGTATACTAGCACTCAAGTGTGGAACAGGCAGCAGGACACTAGGGCTGAAGCTGTAGGGAGGAAGGAAGTCAATCAAATGACAGCAAGACAGAACTGCGACGAATGCTTGTCTTAATCTTCTTCCTCTAAAACAGCCTTCAAACTAAAGGCAGCAGCTCATCTATGTGCATAAACTTGAGACAGACAGAAACCTGTAACTCTGATGGAGAACTCTGAAGGGGGTCTTGAGATGTGGACTTGGAGGGATACATTATTAAATGGGAGGGGCAGGTGTTATTAGTTCCTTTTTAACACAGTTACGACTGAAACCCATTTCACTCCCCATCAAATGCTTTCCTTTTGTTATGCGCTCCATCTTTCTTTATTTTTGGATTCACTCATGCATGATACAATACATCAGAACTTTCCCATCTGACTCTTTGTCCGGAGAAGATTTTATTGCTCCCTTAGCTGTTAAAAGCGACATTTACTCATGGGGGCTTATGGTGTGAGCAAGCCCGGTTTTAATACCACCATAAATAACAGTGTCACACCCTGTCAAGTAAACTCTACTCAGGGATAGTGGCAAAAGGCAAGCTGGCCTGTGTGTCAACAGGAAAGCATTGTCTGAGACTGCACAGCTACCATCAGTAAAATGTCACAGCCCCACACTTCACTGATCAGAAACCGAGGAGCTTTTGTGGATCAACACTCTCCAAAATGCAGCTGGTTCGAGTTCTTGATGAACAAATTCCTCGGATCTTAAGATCAAAGAAGAGATTTATGTATTAGCAGACGTCTTAAATGTTTTACATCAGGAGGCGGCAGCAACTCTGGATGTTAATTTGAATATCAGACACGGGCTTTGAGCAAATAGCTGATGCCCCACACGCTGGACTACATGATGACTTCAAGTAATACTTTTTGAGAGTATATATGAGGTCACCACCAAATCCATACGTTTGCCGATGCTCTTCTATCATTCATCATAAAGCAATTGCCCCTACACTGCCTATCACTGAGCCTCTACTTAAAGCTTGTTGGTGTTGAGAAGAGCTGACTTCCAACACCAACAGCAGCACCATATGTTTCCCATCACAACAAGGAGTTTCCTCACAGATCAAGAAAATAATAAATAAACATCACTTAAACCGGGCACAAAACACAATCTATCAATCTCGGGTCATGGTTGTGTTTCCAAAACGATTTCAGCAAGTACCAACACAAGCAAGGGGAGTGTAAGAGAAAATCTGAAACGTGCATTTGTTTATAATATGCGACTGTTACTTATAGTGAGTTACACAACTTTTTAGGATGTGCTGATATTGCTATAGTGTCCTGTTTGCAGTTTTCAACATGTGATACTCAGCGTTCAACAGGACCATGAGCTGCTGACCAGTTCACAAAGAGAGACAGATTTAATTGTGAAGTCATTTGTCACGCTAAATAAATATTACGGTAACACTAAAGCACAGATAAAACTTGTAAAACAACAAGTAGAGAAGTGTGGGTTAAACTCACCAGCTGTAAAGTGCAGATAAAGATGAGTGTGCATCGTCCGCTGCAGCAGCCCATTGTGTTAGCGGTGAAAACGTGACTCTGATCCGGGAGAAAAGGACTTGTTAACGGGGGTCGGAGGAGCTCTCAATGTGCCGACCAGACTCAGTCCTGATCCAAGCACCGGCGTCCCATTCTCCTCTTCTGCTCCCGTGTCTCTGTGCTGAGCCCCAAGAAAGAAAAAGAAAACCCACGGCAGGATCGCCCTGGCTGCTCTGGGATCTATGTGTCTGTTTGTTTGCCTCCGCTCCTGCCGGCCGGTCGCACTTGAGGTGACTGGCTGGGTGGGTGGTTGCGAGCCGGTGTGTTCAGGGAGGAGGCGGGGGAGGACGGGGTGGGATGGGAGGAGGGGGTGGTGATGGGGTAGTCAGCCGTGGGCTGGGATGTGGCTGGCTGAGGGCGTCAACTGGTTTGTGGACGCTGTCTGTGGTGAGGCTGTAGAGAAAAGTGCACGCTTGTCAATTCAAAATGTTTGAACAGAGGTCATCAATTTATTGTCATAGCGACCGAATACATTTCTATCAAGCCAATTTAAAAGGCTTAATAGCAATTAGAATCACAAATAAAGCGACAAAGCCAATAGCAGGCATTTATTAGTGGTTGAAACGGTACAGATTAACACTAGTGTTTGTTAACTAATGTTAGCGACTCATTTTGAGATTTAATGACTTTGGTTTGTGCAGGTGCGTGTGTGAGCGCGCGCTAAGGAGGCACACCGGGTGAAATTAGCTGCTATGAAGACTACTGCTGCTGGTAGTGGTGGACAGGCGCCATCTTGTGACGCATTCTTGAACTGCACCCCTGAGAAGTTTTAAAAGTCGTTGCATGCATGGTACAAGGTCATTATTCAAAATGGAAGCCAATTTTCTCTCAGTTATGTGATTTTTATGCGTCAAGACAAACTTTTCTTCCCATATTTAGCAAGACTCCTTTTCTTTCTACAATAATAATTGAAGCAATTATAATTCTTAGGCCCTCTAAAGACAATTTTAATCTCGGTGAGGCACTTTTATGGTTTAATTATTATTTTCTGACACGTTTCTTTACACACATCCTCCACTTTCTCACTTGCTTGTCCTGCCTCCCTTTAAATTTCCATTTGCCCTCTGGGTAGTCACTGCTCGGTATGATTTGTGTTTTATTTTGTACATTTGTATAGTACGTTGTTAAGGTTTTTGCTATATGGTTATGTCATTGTTTTATTAATAGTGCTTATGTCTTGTTTTTGCTTGTGTGCCTTGCTATGTGCTTTTGTCTATGGTTATATCCTCCTGAGACCTGAACCTTTGTTTGGTATGCATTTTTGATTTCTTCTAGCTATTTGGGATCAGTAGGACCTGAAAAGTATAAAAAATAAACACTGTCAGTGATCGATAAGTCCCAAAGTCCTCAAACGGGACCATGATAAAGTCCTGGTGTCTTCAAACAGGTACTTTCTAATTAACAGGTCTTAGCTTGTTACTGTTGCTAAAATTGGTAAAATGTGTTGCCATATCAAACTACAAACATTAGTCATAAATAAACAAGTTTCAACCATAAAATGTTATAAAATGTATAGTGTATTGTGGTCTTATTACCACTAGATGGTACAAAAAAGTGTCCATGAACAAGGACAACAGGTCTATGAAGTATAAGGTCAAGTAAACCCAAAATGTGATGTCCTCATATGAGGATGCAGGGTCTCAGGAGGATATGCTTGCTCCTCTTTGGACCTGCCATCAATCCGCTTTTATCCATATTTATGTGCTTTTGTATGTTATTTTAATGTCTTTTTCTCATAGACACATATACCATCAACCTGCCAGGGGCTGCAGATGAAAATGAGCCTGTATGGCTAAATATGGCACATATAGGTGACTTAAGTGATCATGGTAATTAATATGCACTGTCCCTTTCTAAATAAATTAAACATAAACATAATAATAATATTAGTAAAGATCTTAAAAGCAACTCTCAGTCGCCCTCCTACTCCTCCTCTCTCGAAGTGTACAGAAGCAGGTCCCAGCTCTCTCTCTCCTCACCAGCTTGATAAATCTTTTACACGTCTGCGGGCTGAGTGAGGGAACACTTCACATCTCATTTCATCACACACTCCTCCGCTCTGCTCCTTTAAAGTACCGCTCTACTCTCCGCTCCGCCGTCCTACACCGCCTGCCCACCTGCGTCCAGCCGGGGCCCAGGAGGAGCCCCCCCCAATTGCCAAAAATAACCTCAGGGTATTTATGGAAGCTGGCAAGCAAGCACGAATTGGGCTTTTTTTTTTTTTTTTTATTGGTTGCGAAAAAAAGGCTGTTCTTTCATCATGATAACCTGGAAAAATAAGTATCGTGATCAATTTGAAGTAGCTTGTGCATCATCCCCCAACCTGCATCTGTTTTCTTTGATGGTTGATGATTGATAGTTTGTCTGTGCTCCACTACTTTTTTATTGCAGTCATATGTTCTTGTCTCAGATATGCATTCTTAAGCACATACTTTATGTGTTGTGTAATATGCACATCAGGTGGTGCATCCTGCTGAATATCTTACTATATTTGTACATGTGGGTCTCTGAGCATGTGACATTAAAACTTTTACCTTATGGAGAGATGGCAGATTTGTTGATGGACAGCAATGGACTGTATTAAAGGTCCAGTGTGGAGGATTTAGGGGGATATATTGGCAGAGATGGAATATAATATAATAAGTATGTTTTCCTTAGTATAATATCACCTGAAAAAACGAATTGTTGTGTACATTTTACCTAAGAATAAGCCATGTATATCTATCACCATGTTGCACAGCCATGTTTCTACAGTGGTCCAGAACGGACACTGGTTCGAAATAGGGCCATTAGCATTTTCAGGTTAGCCACTGTAGTTAGCAGCTCCTCTGTCACAAGCCAAACAGCATCGGAAGAACACTGATTTGTAACAGGAAACTGCTTTATTCAGTGTTTTTACTGGTTTAAATGACCAGGTCTGTTTGTTTTGGAGAAGTAGTGACCTCTGCGGATAATTCAGCTCCCAGTAAAAACCTCCTGAAAATCTGGATCTAATGTTATCAGAGACAAAAGGTAGCAGGTGCTGGGCTAGCTGCCCCTCTGTGACAAGCCGAACAGCATTGGAGAGACACTAATTTCTAATGTGGAACTGCTTTATTCAGTGTTTTTGCAGGTTTTAGTCACCACGGGTCTCATTTATAAAACTGTCAGTAGGATCCATACTTAAAATGTACGTACATGCAAAAGCCAAAAATGACGTGCATCAAAAAATATTCAACAATTTCTACCATCAGGCTTCTACCTCACCATCTGCCCTGCCAATTTCCTGTCTCCAAAATGTTCGGAAGCTTGGGTCGAAGTTTCTCCCACCAAGTCTGATTTTACAGATCACAACTTTCCCATGGGAAGTGGCGTACGCCTCATTCAGGCCTTATTTTTTTGCGTACTCAATGTTTATTTTGGTGAGCAAGAGACCTCTACAATTTGCTGGTGATAAAACTTCCTGAACAATGAACACCAAAGGAATCCGTGAGTTCACACTTAGCATAGGGGAGGCGTTTCAGCTAGTTGCAATCTGCAGTCCTCAGTCCGCTAGATGGCACTAAAATCTGTGCTCCTTGACACATTTTGATGGGTGAACTCCAAGAACACATATGGGATGTATTCTTTTTGACAAAACAATCGCAATTTTAAGTCCACTTACTAGATTTTTTTTGGAGCTTTTTATCTTTCAACCATATCCTCATCAGCAGATGGAGTCTGCTCGGTTGTGTGCTCAACGTCCTCTTGCTACCTATAAACCAACAACAAAGAGAAGTCTTAAAATCGCAACAGCTACTGAGCTTGCACATCAACAATAACAACAAATGCCATGTGATGTAATTAACAGCTCTGCTAAAAGGTCAAGAAAGAACATTCATGTTTAACCTTTCATTCCACGTGTCTCAACAACGGTGCATATACTGTGTGAAATATTTAATTCGGAAATGTCCTAATTGTCTTGCTCAAATTTTACACACATTTCCAAGTTTGGGCTACTATACTTGTCTTAGGAGACGTCTGAATAGCTGTGGGTTTCACCAAAACTTGGTCGTGTAACATGAGTTTGTTAAGCTGGACACACCAGCGGTTCTAACATGTTAGTAAATGTAGGGAAGTATTTTTTTTGTGTGTAGTCAGTGGCATTAACCAATTTGTTTGTAATGGCTGTCATGTTTTACTGTTACACATGAAGCCAGTAAGTGCAAGAGCTACTAGTAGAATACATTAGTGACCGTCCTGCACGTCTTGCACGCATGAAGCTCACTCATTCACAACTGCATTTCTTATGAGAACATGTTTTCTGAATGTGTGCCATAAAAATGTCTGTGCATGTGTATGTGGGTTGGTGGGTGTGTGGGTTGGTGGGTGGGTGGGTGGGAGAGAGCGAGACTGAGAGAGGAGAGCTGAAATAAGGTCACTGTTATAGTTCTATTAGAAGCCTTGATGGAAGTTCTCCTTGTGTTCCCATTTTGCCCATTTTGCCCAACACCTCCTTATCGACTCACTCTGTGCTGTGTGTGTGTGCGTGTATGTGTGTGTGTTTCCAGAACACTTCTTTCATGACAAGTGTGTCCAGGCCCTCAGGGGCTGCTGTTCTCCACAAAGACACTAATGTGAAGTGACAGGACAGCCAATGGTGAGCTGCTCTGAGGGGACCTGCATTGTAGAGGAGACCCAAGAGTCTGGCTAGTAGGTGGACAACAATAGAGAAAGGACCTCAAAAGGACAAGGCTTTTCTCTCTCTGAAAGCATCTTAGGCTGTCGCTTCGAGTTCCCACCCTTTCTGTCTTTCTTTCTTTCTTTCTCTGTTTCTTTTTTTCCTTCTCTGTTTCTCCTCTCACACACTTTGGAGCTCAAACACCCCAGTCAAAAAATCCTCGCTATTTCTTTCACTACTATTTAACAGCCAATTCCTCATTTGTGAGGCTGACGGAGACATGACAGCAAAATAGATTGTATCCTTTCTCACACTCACAGCGGCTTGAATGACTTCCCCAAATAACTGTGGTGAAACAGTAATTTGCTTACACCACAGGCCAATAAAGGACGCCATTACTCAGGCTGAAATACTGTACGTCACCTGGGGAGCAGCTCTACAACAGAGACAACACAGACTATTTTGCATTGGTGCACCTAACACCCACTGTGGCAAATCATACATCATAACCTAACCTTAAATCAGTAAAATAAGCTGCTCTCTTCAGCTCTACAGGACATTTATCACACAAACTACCTACACAGCTGAAAATTACAGCCACAACTGGCTGCCCCACAAG